TGCTAGGACACCTAGCACACAAAGCAACTGCATCAACTCAGGGAATCAGATAAAATGCAGAGACAAAGAGGCAGGCCACAAATGAAAGAAATGGAGGAAAGCAAATGATTGAATATAGAGTTCAAAACCACGGTTATAAGATTTTTCAAGAATTTCCAAGAAAAGCCGAAGCCGGTTTGGCTCAGTGGTAGAGCGTCGGTCTGCAGACTGAAAGGTCTCAGGTTCGATTCCGGTCAGGGGCATGTACGTTGGTTGCGGGCACATCCCCGGTGGGGGGTGTGCAGGAGGCAGCTGGTCGATGTTTCTCACTCATCGACGTTTCTAGCTCTCTATCTCTCTCCCTTCCTCTCTGTAAAAAATCAATAAAATATATTTAAAAAAAAAAAAAGAATTTCCAAGAAAAGACCGATAAATTTATTGAGACTCTCGAGGATATGAAAAAAAAGGGTCAACTAGAAATTAAGCATACACTGACTGAAATAAAAAATAATATACAGAGATCTAAAAGCAGACTAGAGGATTGTAAGAATCAAGTAAAAGATTTGGAATACTACGAAGCAAAAAACACTCTTCCGGTAAAGCAAAAAGAAAAAAGAATTCAAAAAGTTGAAGATAGTGTAAGAAGCCTCTGGGACAACTTCACGTGTACCAACATCAGAATTATGGGGGTCCCAGAAGAAGAGAGAGTGCAAGATACTGAAAACCTATTTGAAGAAATAATGACAGAAAACTTCCCCCACCTGGTGAAAGAAAGTAATAGACTTACAAGTCCAGGAAGTGCAGAGAAGCCCAAACAAAAGGAATCCAAAGAGGACCACACCAAGACACATCATAATTAAAATGCCAAGAGCAAAAGACAAAGAGAGAATATTAAAAGCAGCAAGAGAAAAACAGTTAGTTACCTACGAGAGAGCACCCATAAGATTGTCAGCTGATTTCTCAACAGAAACTATGCAGGCCAGATGAGAACAGCAAGAAATATTCAAAGTGATGAACAGCAAGAACCTACAACCACGATTACTCTACCCAGCAAAGCTATCATTCAGAATTGAAGGTTAGATAAAGAGCTTCACAGCTAAGAAAAAGCTAAAGCTAATCACCACCAAACCAGTATTATATGAAATGCTGAAGAGTATTCTTTAAGAAGAGGAAGAAGAAGAAAAAAGATAAAGATAAAAATTACATATCAACAAGTGAATCTAAAAACCAAGGGAATAAAAAATCAGATGAACAGAATAAACTGGTGAATATAATAGAATCAGGGGCATAGAAAGCAAGTGGACTGACAATTCCCTGGGGGGAAAGGGTAGTGGGGGGTGCTGGAAGAGACTGAACAAAAAGCATATACCTATGGATGAGGACAGTGGGAGGATTAAGGGCGGAGGGTGGGGTAGGAACCTGGTGGAGGAGAGCTAAGGGGGGGGGGGGAAGAGGAACAATATTAATAATCTGATCAATAAAGATTTACTAAATTAAAACAAAAACAAAAGACTTCAGTTAGTCATTGATTCTATTTGACAGCTACAATTGTCTTCATTTTCCAAACGAGAGCATTGAGATTAAATGCAGTTAAGAACTTGCCCAGAGTCACCCAGCTGGGAGGTGACACTCTCAAACCTTGGTACATGTAACGCTAGGCGGTTACTCTAAGCAGGGGCGTCCTCACTGCCCAGTACCCCATCCTCGGAGAATGGCTGCTAGAGGGAAGTATTGCCTAGGGCAGTAGTTGGCAAACTCATTAGTCAACAGAGCCAAATATCAACAGGACAACGATTGACATTTCTTTAAATTTCTTTATTGATTAAGGTATCACATATTTGTCCTCAACCGCCCATTACAATCCCCCCTCCCTACTCATGCCCCCACCCCCCTATTGTCCTCTACCACTGGTTAGGCTCATATGTGTGCACATAAGTCCTTTTGTTGATCTCTCCCTTTTATCCCCACCCTCCCTTTGAGGTCCAACAGTCTGACCCATGGCTCCTTGTCTCTGGGTCTGTTCTTGTTCATCAGTCTATGTTGTTCACCATTTCCCCTAGATGAGTGAGATCATGTCCTATTGGAAATATAAGAATAAAAAATGAGACAAGCAATAATTGTTATGCTGAAAGGCATATGAATCAGTCTGTAGTGAGTTTCTTTCTAGGCCAACAGTTCTTTTGAAACCCAAATTCAATGTTAAACAGTTCCTTATATGTATATGTTAGCAATTATATTTCAGTTCTGGATGGTGGACAAAATGGTGGTAATGCAGGTCCAGCCTTCTCTGGTTTGGTCCTGGGCATCCTTCAGCGACACACAGCTGCTGTCCGCTAGTCATATTATAGTACAAAAAATTAAAATTTAAAATCTATCAAGACTACATTATAAAATTTTCAAAAGCCTCCCAATATTTAAATAAAAAAAAGGGGAAAGTTAGAAGAATATCATGTAAGGAAAAATATCCTGAAAGTAAATTACATCTAGAAAATTTGTACTTTAGAAAATTACTTGTAATGCTAACAGCAAGACACCCATGAAAAACACACATAGTGTCAAAACAAGCCAGAGGAAAATCATTTGGGCAAAAAATGAAAAAGGATCCCAAGTCAAATTTATAGAAAATATTCCTTTATTAACTTTTGGTTGAGAATATGTTTGTATATTTTCAGAAAACCACTCCGAGACCATGTGGGTTCTGGCAACAGAGAGGAATTGACAGGAGTGCTCCAGCCATGAAGAGGAAGAGAAGCAGTCCAGAGGTGGAAGACGCTGATGATGCCTTGACATTTGAGAGCCGAAAACCGACTTCTGCGCATGGGCCATGAAGTTTCAATTGCACTTGTGGAAGAGCCACACTCAAGGGGCCAAAGAGCCGCATGTGGCTCGCGAGCTGCAGTTTGCCGACCACAGAGCTAGGGGACAAGTGCGGACACTTACTACCTCTCGGCTTGAGCAGATGAGTCCTCCCTGGGCCACTCGGGAGAAGAGCTGTCCTCCTCACGCCCCCTCCTGCGGGCGCTTTGTACACCGAGTCTGCGAGAAACAGTGAGGTTCCTTGTGCACCTCTCGACCGCCCTCCCCGCGCCTCCCCACTCCGTCACTCTCTTCACATCAGTTTCTCTGCCTGTCGCGTCAGGTGTAAAATCCCTTAGGCGCGATTTGCCGAGGGAGGAGGGAGGCTGTGAGGTGGATCCGGGCAAACCTGCTGGGCTCTTTTCTCCGCGGCCCAGGGGCCGGTTCCTGTGCCGTTGGCAGCAGTCAGGCTGGCCTGGGCCATCTCCACGCCTCCCCGTGAGCCCGCAGCTGGGACCTCGGGACCTTGGGCCTCAGGAGACCGTCAGGACTGCCTCTGCTCACTCTCCTGCCCTGTGAGGACTGCCTGTCTGTTCCCGGCCTGCGAGACCCAGGTGTGAGGGCAGGCCTGGGCCGGGCACTGCTGCCCCGCCCGTGACTGTGCAGTCCCCACAGGCCAGGGGCTTCCCAGACTTCGCATCCTCTGACTTACCCTCGCCACTCCCGGCCTCTGCTTCCCTTGTGGGCCTTCCTCTCCCTGCCCCAGGTCCTCTCTGGCTGACTGGGCTGCACTGGGGGACGGGAGGCTGAGCTGGAGCGAGCTCTCCATGCCCTCGCATCAGCCTCACTGCCCCCCGCCCCCTTCCTCCCTCCCCGCGCCAGTGAGGAGAGTTCCCGGTCCCACGGGCCCAGGACCTGCTCTGAGCTCCTCCGTGCCTCCGAGACGCCGGAGGTGAGGTGCCACTGCGCCCTTCCACAAAAGCCCTGTGCCTGTCGCCCAGCGGGCTCTGGTCCTTCTCCTCAGCCCTGACTCTTCACCAGCAAAAGGGGGAGCTGACGGGCGACCTGCCCCTGTCATCGCTCAGGACCGCTGATCATGGTGGTTCCCACCACGGTTCACAGGCCCCCCACCCTCTGTGCCAGCCAAGCCTGGCCTCACCTGGCGGGACGCCCAGCGGGTCGCCAGGGCACCGCTCTCCTGGGGGACCCGCGCCCGGTGGCCCTCTCTGCCGCCCTGGACAGGCGGCCTCCCCATCAGGGCCACTTCCTGCGGCAGGCGCAGGGCACCCACATCTGCCTATCATAGGGACCTTCGCAGGGCGGGCCACGGGCTAGATCCTCAGACATTGGGCCTCCTCTCCCCTCTCCGGGCAGACTCGGAGGGAAGTGGCACGTGTGTGTGGACTCGCCAGGACTGTCTTCGCGTGGCCCACTCCTCTCCCTGCTGGGCCAGCACTCTGGGCCCCCAGCCCCGGGCGGCCACGCAGGCACTGCCCTCCGGCCCCGCGCTTCGGGGGAGGGTCCCCTCATTAAGGACACGACAGGGACACGGCGACAGGCACGCCAGCCGGGCCCGGCCCGCAGAGGCCTCTGGTGAGCTGACTGCCGGCCGGCCCCGGGTTCGGGAGGCCGTCAGGGGCCCACGTGGCCTAAGCCCGCACAGGGCAGCTCAGGCAGCGCCTGGAATTGAGGGGCTTCGCCCAGAGCCCGGGGGCTCCTGAAACCGGTGGCGTCCCTGAGGGAGAGCAGTGCGCTGTGGACAGCGTGTCCCAGAGCCGGCGCCTGGGACACAGAGGCCGCTGCCGAGAGATGGCCGCTGGCCCAAGGCCGGGAGCTGCGACTCCGGGCCCTTCCGCTCAGGAGCCCTGAGGCCGGGACTCCCCAGCCAGCTGCTGGGGCCCCTCGGGCGCCGGCGGGGGTTGTGTGCAGGACAGAGCTGACAGATGCGCCCTCGGGACCTGCCTGGCCGGCAGCTGCAGCCGGAGCCCATTACACACCGGACAGCGCCTGCCCTCACCGAGTCCCTCCCCCACAGCCCTCCCGCCTTGACCCAGATTAGGTCAAAGCTGGGCTAGCCAGGCAGAGCCGGAGGTGGGGGTGGGGAGGTGGCCAGAGCTGAGGAGTAGGTCCCCCGAGAGGCCAGGACCACAGGCACCTCCCGAGGACCCTGCCCGGTCCCTGGGCTCAGGGCACGTCGAGGTCCAGGAAAGACCCGCAGACACAGCGGAAACAACTTCCTTGTGTTATTAGGGAGGGGGTCAGACCATTCTGGCCGCCGCGGGGGCTGTGGGCGCGGGAGGACAGAGTCGCTTGGGCTGGCTCCTTTGCTTGAGCATCTTGGGCTTTTCCATCGAGAGGGCTGCCCTTTCCCGGTCTTTTCTGGACTGGTTCTTCAGGGAGGACACCAGGAAGGCACACTGAGAGAGGAGGGCAGGGTCAGCAGCACCAGCGCAGGGAGCCCCCCCAGGACACACAGACAGATACAGACACAGACACACACACACTCACACACTCACACATTCACACATTCACACACACACTCACACACTCACACACTCACACACACACTCACACACACACACACTCTCACACACACACACTCACACACTCACACATTCACACACACACTCACACACACACACACGCTCACACACTCACTCACACACTCACACACACATACACACTCTCACACACACACACACATACACTCTCACACACACACTCACACACACATACACACACTCACACACTCACACACACTCACACATTCACACACACACTCACACACTCACACACTCACACACACACTCACACACACACTCACACACTCACACACTCACACACACACACCATACACACACGCTCACACACTCACTCACACACTCACACACACACTCACACACACACTCTCTCTCTCACACACACACACTCACACACACACTCACACACTCACACATTCACACACACACTCACACACACATACACACTCTCTCTCACACACACACACACTCACACACCATACACACACTCACACACTCACACACACACACTCACACACACTCAAACTCACACACACACACACTCACACACCATACACACACTCACACACTCACACACACACACTCACACACACTCAAACTCACACACACACACACACACTCACACACACACACTCACACTCACACACACACTCACACACACACACACACACACCACACGCGCACACACACACTCACACACACTCACACTCACACTCACACACACACACTCACACTCACACACACTCACGCTCACGCTCACACAGACCAAAAGGACTTGTAGTAAAAGGGTGGAAATCTACTGGAAGCAAATCCAGACTCCCAGGTGGAGAGGGGTCCGGGGGTGGCCGCCAAAGCCTCTTTTGTCAGGTTTGTAAAAGCTGTGTTCTTTGCCTCTTCGTGCTCCCTGCCCCGTTTTATGACCCTGTGCTTTTCCAGTTGGCCGCTCTTTTGCAGACATCAACTTCCAAGGCCGAACCCACGTGGTGCCCCTCTCCACGCCCCTTACTTGTAACATTGCTCTGTCTCCTGTGAAAATGTCTCCCTCTTTCTGCCATCTGTCCACATTTCTCTGTGAAAGTTTGCTTCCTTCTTCCCCCAACCCTGGCTTTCCTTTATGCCTTTTGGAGGTTCCAAGCCTCACCTATGCACTCCTCCACCATGGACCCCCTTTATTCCCGAGGTTCCCTAAACCTGCCTATTCTATCCCTACAGTTCCTCTCAGCGGTCCTCCTGACACCGTGGTCTCAGACTCCTGGTGCTGGAACTGAAAGAGCATGCCTGCTGTTGTAAGCACCGGGTGCTGGGGCTTTGTGTGCGGCCCCAGAGACAACACAGGAGCCAGTGCCCTCCTTTCCCCACCCCAAGGCACACCTTTTGCGAGTAGTTGAGAGCCTTTTCCATCTCAGACACGATGGCCTTGATGTCGTCACTTTCATAAACACCTGGAAACAAAGTGTTCGTGGGGAGTGCCCAGCAGGCTGCGGAGGCCTGAGCTGGAGGGCGGGGTGGGGTCTTAATGGCCAAGCTGATGAGCCCCACCCCGCCTGTCCCCGCTGGTCACAGCGAGTTACCAGCGGTGGGATGGCCGCGGACCCAGCCTGGAGCCTGCGCCACAGGGAGAGGAGAAAGGAGCACGGGCCCGGGGCCCTCCAGCGAGTGAGACCACCGCCCTGGGTTCCTGAAGCGGCGAGTGTCTGCAGTCAACACTGTGGACTATGTGAGGAGAACTAGAGCACAGTGACTAAGCAGACAGGCTCCGCGGTGGGCCCATGCCCACCTTTAGGCTGCGTGGGAGGGAGAGTGTGTTGTTGGCATCAGCTCACAATTCTCCTGCCCAAGTGGCATATTTCGGGGTGGCACGTCGGCCCCCTGCGACTATCACAATGAGCTCCGTGTTCCGGGAGCACTGCCTTGTCACCCTGTGATGAGCACTCCCTTCGGGAAACACTAAACCTGGGCCCTCCATGCTCCTTCCAGCTCTAAAGTGTGTAAAAACAGCTTTCCTTTCCCTTTTGACTCAAAAAATCAGGGTAAGACAAGTTACTTAAAACGAACCCTTTTAACCACGTTTGACTGAGTACGCTCCCTCGGTGTGGCCATTCCGCCCCCGTGTGCAGGGGCCGCGTGCGGACCGTGAAGAGCACGTTTCCGTTTCCGAACGGGGTTTTCGCACGGTGCACATGGGACACATCCCTGGCCCAGGGCGCGGAGCTGGCACCGAGAACCCAGCCCTCCGGCCAGCCAGCACGCACCCACCTGTGTCGCCAAACCAGTGGAAACGGCCTCCGGAGGCCCCGGCCACCTCCCGGTAGGCGGCGGCCGTGTCGGTGCGGCTGGCGTAGCAGGCGGGCGGGGTGGTGTCCATCGGCGGCTCGCCCACGTAGAAGAGACACACGTTCAGCTGGAGGTCACAGCCCCCGCAGGCCTCGGCCACGTAGGCGCAGAGCGTGGGCTGAGGAGAGAGGGCGGGGGGTTCCTGAGCCCGCCGTCCCAGATCAGTTCCGCCTACTGTGCGCCGGGTGTGGCCCTCGGTGCTGAGGATAGAAAGGCGAATGAGCTGGGCCACAATTCCTCTACTTTGCGAGGGGATGGCGGGGAGCTGGACCCAGAGCCTGGTGGCCACCAGGGAGCGCGTCAGAAATGCAGACTCGTGGGCCCCAGGCCAGACCTCCGGAAAGGGGCTCTGCCTCCACACGGCACCCAGGCGAGCCTCCCGCACGTGAGGTCCAGTGGGGAGCCGTGCTGAGGAGCTGCCACGTCCGCCAGGGGAAGATGGGGGTCACCAAGAACGGGGTGCCTGGACGTGGACCACCTACCACGTCCTGGTCGGGGATGCCCCCCGTGAAGAGGTAGATGCCCTGCGACTGCTGTCTGTCCTTGTCCTTGAAGTCCACCTCCACCGCCTTGCGCAGGGCGCTGAGGACGTTCCTGCTGCCCCCACACTGCAGGCTCAGGGCCCACCTGGAGGCGGAGAGGCCCGCTGAGGGAGGCCGGGGAGGCGGGACAGAGGCCTGCCCTCCGTGGAGGGGCTGGAGAGAACAGCCTGCCCAGCCTGCCCGCAGCCTCTGCCCACCACCTACTGCCAGGCGCTCTGCAGGCTGTCATGGCTCACGGACACCATCTCGGGCCTCCAGCTTTCGACGGTGCTGCCAAACCTGAGGGGAGGAACGAGGCTCGTTCTCAAGCAAGAGACCGGTCCCCTCGGTGCCCCAGCTCTGGGGGCTCCCAGGCTCCAAGGAGACCAAAATCCCGATTCCACCCCCATACTGTGGGGATGTCATGACCTGCCCGGACGGACGGACGGTCACAGGGAGGACAGGGCCAGGAGCACTCCTCCATGTCTTGGAGACGTGCATGTGTGAGCTGCTCCATCCCCTGGGAGGAGAGTCCTTCTCCCTCTCACCTTCCCTGGCACCGACTCATGCTCACGGCTCACACCCCCTCCATCTGCCAGGCGGTCGGTGCGTTTTTAACCTGCGTCAGTCCACCTTCTCTGTGAGGCAGGATGTAGATCCTGGGGACTCCTCCCTTCGCCAGAGGAGAGGAGCCTCTCTGTGGTCCAAACCGACTCCCCACTGCACTCCACCAGGTGCAGCCAGTGTCTTCAGTCTCCTCTGCACATGCCTGCCTCCCCCAAGGCCTTCGGCCCGAGGGCAGGCTTTGTGGTTGGGCTCTGTGCCTGGGCTTTTAGTAAAAGCTTGTTGAACGAATGGTTGGATGGATAAATGAGTGAAAACATTGCCTAAAATGTTTCTCTAGGAGGTTTTTCCTGGAATTTATTATGTAGAGATTAGTAGCCCAGTGCACTAAAATCATACACATTAAAGGGGGATTAATTAGAGGAAATATTTTAATATTGCTATTCTCTGTAATAGAAGTGCCAGCGGTGAAGGAAAAATCGTAAAATGTATATGAAAACCTTCCTCCTGTTAGAGTCTGGGGAGAGCCATGGGAACCAGAGTCAAGTCCCCGCCCACCCACGTTGCACCTTGAAATTGCATGAGACCCAGGCCCAGCCAGCCCTCCCCATTGGGCAAGACCCAGACCCGCCAGCTCCACCCCGTCAAGCCCCAAAGGGTAGGGGGTGCAGCCTCAGGGCTCACAGCCTGGCACTGGGTGGAGGGCACATCCTGAGGTCCCCTGTCAAGCCCTGCAGTGTGGGGGCCACAGCCTCAGGGCCCCTTTGCTGGCCCAGCGCGCAGCCTCAGTCTCTGCTGATCGCTCATTAAGGCTCTTACGGGAACTTAGCCTCCGCTGTGAGTGCAACATCTTGTGTTATGAAAACCTGTCTTCACTGTGGGCGCTGCCTTTTTGTGATGGTTTGATGGTCAATTTGCATATTTCCTCTTTATTAGATAGGATTAGTAGACTCTGATACAGAATAATATATAATATTAACTACTGCCTTAACCAGTTTGGCTCAGTGGATAGAGCAACAGCCTGCAGACTCAAGGGTCCCAGGTTCGATTCTGGTCAAGGGCATGTACCTTGGTTGTGGGCACATCCCCAGTAGGGGATGTGCAGGAGGCAGCTGATCAATGTTTCTCTCTCATTGATGTTTCTAACTCTCTATCCCTCTCCCTTCCTCTGAAAAAAAAAATCAATAAAATATATTTTTTAAAAATATTAACTACTGACATAATAGGCTCAGAACACTCCCTATTGAAGAGAAACCAAGATGGCAGCATAGGTAAACACCTGAACATGCTGCTTGCACAATCATATCAAAACTACGACTAAAAGACAAAACAGGTATCATCCAGAACCACGGGAAGGCTGGCTGAGTGGAAGTTATACAACTAGAAGGAAAGAGAAAAGCACACTGAAACTCGGAGGAGGTATGGAGGCACATGCAAAAAGGGCTGGCAACTGGGTATGCTGTTGTCTTCTTCAATCGGGAGGGAGATACAAGCTCCCGATTGCTCTGAATTCCAGTTCCAGGAGAGAGACTCTGGGGTTCCAGACTCATATGGAGAGAAACTGGACTGCCTGGTTTTGGGCAGAACTCAAGGGCGGCTTTCTCTCAGAGATGCTTGCAGCAATCATTGTTCCTGCATGGGGCCACAGGACACAGAGACCTGGGGGACTCTTTGGGGCAGGGCTGTTGGGCAGCCATTGCTGTTTGCTCCACCCTGATGATTTCCTGAGACTCTGCCCCACCCAATTTACAACCCCACCCAAGCTGTGTGCAGAGGCTTTTGCATATGAATGACCTGGCCTTTTTCAATCTAAAACTTAACTAACTGCAGCTGGGTCAGAGAGCTCCAAAGCTTCCAAAAGAAGGCCTAAGGCCTGGCAGCAACAGCCTCCATTACTTCACAGCTGGCCTCATCTGGGCACCTCCAAACTCCAAACAAAGAAGAGGAATCTGCAGATCTCACTGTACCTCCTGATGAGTGGCCTCAGGCAGTGGTTGACTTTGCACCTCTTTGGAGATCCAAGAGCCAGTGTACCCAGTGGTCAGAGTTGGACTATCCAGATTACAACTCCTCAGATCCATAAGGGCCACACTCAGGGGGAAGACTCAGTGAGCACCAAAGTCCCACTGAAGCAAGCCCTGTCCCATAAGGGTGTCTCCAGCACAGAAGTTCTCCCATCGTAGACACAGCTCTGATCCTCACTGCCAATTGGCCTGGAGGTCAATTCCTCCCAGTGATACCAACAACAATCAAGGCTTAACTACAACAAGACTGTGCACACAGACCACAATGGGGTGCACCAAGAGTGTCCACCTCAGGTAATTGGGGAGGCTGAGCCACTGGGCCCTACAGGACACCTAGCACACAAGGTCACTGTATCAACACAGGGAAGCAGCCAAAATGCAGAGACAAAGAAACGGGTCACAAATGAAAGAAATGGAGGAAAGCAAACTACTGGATATAGAGTTCAAAACCACAGTTATAAGGTTACTCAAGAATCTTCTAGAAATCTCTGAGAAATTTAGTGAGACCAATATGAAAAAGGACCAATTAGAAATTCAGCATACACTGACTAAAATAAAGAATAATATACAGAGAACCAACAGCAGACTAGAGGATCCCAAAAATCAAGTCAAAGATTTGAAATACGAGGAAGCAAAAAACACCCAACCGAAAAAGAAAAAAGAAAAAAAGAATCCAAAAAGTTGAAGATAGTGTAAGGAGCCTCTGGAACAACTTCAAGCATACCAACATCAGGATTATTGGGGTGACAGAAGAAGAGAGAGAGCAAGATACTGAAAACCTATTTGAAGAAATAATGACAGAAAACTTCCCCCACTTGGTGAAAGAAATAAACTTACAAGTCCAGGAAGAGCACACAACCTCAAACAAAAAGAATTCAAAGAGGACCACACTAAGACACATTGTAATTAAAATGCCAAGAGCAAAAGACAAAGAGAGAATCTTACAAGCAGCAAGAGAAAAACAGTTACCTACCTACAAGGGAGCACCCATATGACTGTCAGCTGATTTCTCAACAGAAACTATGCAGGCCAGAAGGGAGTGGCAAGAAATATTCAAAGTGATGAATAGCAAGAACCTACAACCAAGATTACTCTACCCAGCAAAGCTATCATTCAGAATTGAAGGTCAGATAAAGAGTTTATAGAAAAAGTTAAAGGAGTTCATCACCTATTCTTTAAGAAGAGGAAGAAGAAAAGGTAAAGGTAAAAATTATAAACAACAAGGTGACAACAAATACATATCTATCAACAAGTGAATCTAAAAATCAAGTGAATAAAAAATCTGATGAACAGAATAAACTGGTGAATATAATAGAATCAGGGGCACAGAAAGGGAGTGGACTGACAATTCTCTGAGGAAAGGGGGTTTGCAGGGTGCGAAAGAGACTAGACAAAAATCGTACCCCTATGGATGAGGACAAGTTGGGGGGAGATAAGGGCAGAGGGTGGGATGGGAACCGGGTGGAGGGGAGCTACTGGGGAGGGGGAGGGGAAGGAGAAACAACTGTAATAATCTGAACAATAAAGATTTATTAAAAAACACACACACTCCCTATTAGATATGAAGGTGTGTAAAATGTACAATTAAAAATATGTATAAAACTGCCGAAACCAGTTTGGCTCAATGGATAGAGTGTCGGCTTGGGGACTGAAAGGTCCCGGGTTCTATTCCGGTCAAGGGCATGTACCTTGGTTGCGGGCACATCCCCGGTAGGGGGTGTGCAAGAGGCAGCTGATCGATGACTCTCTCTCATCGATGTTTCTAACTCTCTATCTCTCTCCCTTCCTCTCTGTACAAAATCAATAAAAATATATTTTAAAAAATATGTATAAAACTATGTATATACTTAAATTATATTTAGCTATATACTGTATAATTAAGATATATATATTTAAATTCTATTTATATTTTAAATGTACATATTAAATTACTTATATACAAAATAATTTAAATGTATATATTTTACATAATTCAAGTATACATAGTTTTATATATTTATATCTGTATAATTCAGTTGTATATAGCTTCACATGAAGTTAAAGTTCAGAACTGAAACCCTAAATGAACTCCTGTGCCTTGTCAAACGCAGGTGAGGAGCTGGGACACTGGCATGCCTGGGCCTTATTTCTCTCTGTGCTGTCAGGCTGAGAGCCCAGTGGGGCGATGGGCGGGCTGTTCTGTCCTGGCTGATCAAGCTGTGTGTTTTGGGGCTGCTTCTGACCTGCTCCCCAGCAGGACTGTCCGGCAGCGCTTAATTATTCAATGCCCCAGCAAGATCGTTCAAGGCAGATAAACAGCGCTGCCCCAGGGTGCAGGGTGCAGGGTGCTCAGAACACCTTTCGCCTGACGCCCCTGCCAGGAGCCCAGCCCCACGGTGCCTGCACGCAGCCCCCCGGGCCGGCCCGGACGGACGGGAGCTCACGCGATGAGGTTGAAGGCGTCCTTGTTGGCCAGCTGCTCCTCCAGCAGCAGCCGCAGCGAGTGCTGGATGTGAATAATGTAGGTGGAGCTGGCCGCGGACAGGTCCAGCAGCACGGCCAGCCTGCGGGAGGAAACACAAGCCGGAGAACGATCGCTCAGATCGAGTTCTGTTCCGTTTTACTCTTTAACGCGTTTTCCAGGGGCCTGAGGTCAGCAGAGGCGGGTTTCCAGCAGACTCAGGCCCTGGCACCTCTCTCTCGGGGCTCCGACCTCAGAGAAGCCTCGGGGAGAGGCGGCCGCGGGGAGAGGTGGCATGGCCCTCCTCCTTTACAGACTAGCAGCCAGTACTGTTACGTGGGGTCTTTGAGGGAAACAGGAACGAGGTAAGCAGGCTGGATGTGGAATTCCGTTAGCTGGGCCTCTGGGGAAAGGTTGCATCTTTTGGTTTTCTTTGTGTTCTAAGGTCTTCAGCCCCACCCAGGTTTTTCCTCCCACCATGTCAGGTCTTACATTCCCACCTCCTCCCTCCGCGCTCACTGTGAGACACGACGGACAACAAAAGGAAACCCACTCGATTCAGAATCAGACGACCTTGGTTCGGGTCGCAGGTCCCACTTCCGGGGTGAGCTTAGGCGCGTCACAGAGCCCTCCGGCCCTGGGTACGCGGACTGTACACCCCAGTGTCTGTAAGACGACTTCTCACGGTTCAGAATTAAAGGACATGACAGATGTATAGTATTATCACAAAGTATACCACTTTCTGAGGTAACATATCGAGAGGTGTGAAATGAGAGCAAGGGTTGCAATGGGCACTCAGTGTGTCTCCTGCTCAGCATTCACTGAGTCCGGCGCAGCCTGCTTTCCTCTCGGACGCCCCTCGGCCTCTCAGGCCACTTGCTTTGGGTAGAGCGCCCCACCCCAGCTCTGTGGGTGGGCACTGGGAAGCAGGAGGTCACGCCGCCTGGCCGGGTGCAGAGCCCGAGGGTGGCCTTGCCCCGAGCTCCGGGGGTGCGTTTGGAGGGGAAAGCCTGCCGGCTGCCTGAGACAAGGCCGTCGGAGAGGAAACAGGGACGGTGAGAGGTGGAGGGGCTCGGGCCACACGTGAGTGCACAGCCAGCAAACCTGCTCGGAGCTTTCTGCTACCTTAACCAGTGGCGGGCAAACTCACTAGTCCACAGGGCCAAATATCCACAGGACAACGGTTGACGTTTCTTTGGAGAGCCACATTTTCTAAACTTAAACTTCTTCTAACGCCACTTCCTCAACATGGACTCCTATTTTATGGAAGAGCCACGCTCAAGGGGCCAAAGAGCCGCATGGGGCTGGCGAGCTGCGGTTTGCCGACCACGGGCCTGACCAGACCCCGCTGGTGTGTCGGGCCCGCCCGCCCCTCGGTTCTGAGCCTGTGACTGGGAAGAACCGCGTTGCGGTGAGGGTGTCGCTGCGGCTGGAGGGCTCTGCCGAGCAGCGAGCTGTCCCGAGCCGGAGCGGTGGCCCAGGGCCTCCGGGGCCCGGACGCGGCCCTGCCGGACAGGACGCTCCCGGAAGTACCTCTTCTCGCAGACGGTGCCCCAGATCCTCCTGCTGGCCAGCGAGAGCCACTCCACCCGCCGCTGGTACGCCCGCACGGCCCTGCCGAGCTGCTTCTGCGAACACAGGCACGCGGTGAGCGCGCCGAGCGCGGCGCTGGGGTCTGGGAGAGGGTCCCGTGGCTTCTGGGGAGGCGTGCCACGGCCACGGGCATGACGTCCACGGATCGTGGACACGCGGCCACGAGGCCCGAGGAGGAGTCTCGCTGCCCCATGTCGGGAGGAGGCAGAGTTTGTCCCAAAGGGCCAGAAGCTTTACTGTTTACTTTTCATTAGAGGCTTTTGTGTGGGGCGTGCAGGCCTCCGCCCGGATGGACGAGTGAGAAAGCCCCAAAGTGCTGCAGGCGGAGCACAGTTTGTTTATAAGAGAGGACTCTGCCCGCGGCCTGGGACCCACATCACCAGGCCCCCCGCCCCCGGCCCCGCGCCAGCTCTGCCGGGCCGCGCCCACCTGGTATTCGAAGAGGAAGGGCAGGTCCACGTGGACATTCCTCACCGTCCCGTCGTGCCACTGCAGCTGCACCATGGCCTTCTGCTCCGGTGCCGGGGGGCGTGGGCGAGCAGGAACACCGTGGGGAGGGTTTCACGTTCACTCTGGGCCTGGGACGCGGCCTGGCGGGCGCCAGCAGCAGCGCCTAGGACAGCCAGGCGGCTGCCCCCGGAGGCTCCCCTGAGCACAGGAGTCTTTAGCACACGCCAGGCTGGGAGCTTTGCTAATATGGAGTCAGGGACCTTAGAGACCCGGGGCCACGGCCCTTGGGTTCGGGAGCCTAGACAGGCCTTCGTGAACACTTGGGAGTCAAATTTGTTCACCTTTCTTCCTCCACCAAATCGTCATATCCACGCTTCAAAGTATCATTCCAGCGCTTAGTCATTCATCCATCTGCTGTCAATCATCCATCTCTTTCCTTTTAGCCTCCATTCACGACTCCTTCCATTTCTCCATCTTTCCATCCTTACTTTCACCCTTTTCTCTTTTTTATTCTGTCGTGCCATTCATCCTTCCATTTTTTCCTCCATCTGTTCACACACCTTTCCTCCCTCCCTCCCTCCCTCCATCCATCCATCCGCTTACGTGGCCATGCATTCATCAACACTTCCATCCATCTAGCCACTCGTCCTTCCTCTCCTTCCTCCATCCACTTCGTTGTCCACTCATTAGCTGCTGACTTGTACAGAGATACAGAGTTTTTCCTTCTAAAAGGTCCATCATCTGGGGAGATTCGGACATGTCAAATATACAGGTTGACACATCACAGGAGCAGGTGTCTGTACCCAGTGCAGGGAGGACACACAGTGGGTGTGCTGAGGGAGGCAGACACACAGTAGGTGTGCTGAGGGAGGCAGACACTCAGTGGGTGTGCTGAGGGAGGAGGACACACAGTGGGTGTGCTGAGGGAGGAGGACGCACAGTGGGTGTGCTGAGGGAGGAGGACGCACAGTGGGTGTGCTGAGGGAGGCAGACACTCAGTGGGTGTGCTGAGGGAGGAGGACGCACAGTGGGTGTGCTGAGGGAGGAGGACGCACAGTGGGTGTGCTGAGGGAGGAGGACGCACAGTGGGTGTGCTGAGGGAGGAAGACGCACAGTGGGTGTGCTGAGGGAGGAGGACGCACAGTGGGTGTGCTGAGGGAGGAGGACGCACAGTGGGTGTGCTGAGGGAGGAGGACGCACAGTGGGTGTGCTGAGGGAGGAGGACGCACAGTGGGTGTGCTGAGGGAGGTGCTCCCCCGGAGGACGGAGAGCCGCATCTCGTCACCTTGTGGACCGTGGACGATACCGTCTTCTGGAGGACAGGCACGAACTCCGTGATGGGCAGAAAGGCGTTGGGCGCCAGCACCTGGTACAGGCCCAGCCTCTTGGCTGGGACACAGCAAGGCGGCAGCGTGGAGCCGCAGGCCGTGCCTGCGGGCCTCGCCTCGGCCGCCTGCCTCCCCGCGTTTACCTCTCAGGCCGTGGACCTTGAGCCATTCCGCGGAGGTCTTGTCCAAGCTGGGGAACTCGATTGTGAGGGGGGCTTCGTGCTTCCGGGCTTTAGGCAGGAGACCTCCGAGGGGCCCTCCGGCAATCTCCGCGGGAATCTGAATTAAAACGGAAAATCCTCATCACACAGCCTCAGGCTGGAGCTGCAGAGCCTGCAGCCTCTGTGCACCCGGCCCCCACGGGGTCTTCCCAAAGGCGTTGCCCTCCCTCTCACCATCCACCCCCAGCCCCTCTCTGAGATTTCCGGAATGCCAGGGGAAGAGCAAGATGTGCCCCAAACCCACTTCCTCCTCCGTGAGCTCGTCCTGCCCCTCCCCATCCTGACCCACCGACAAGCACCCGGCCTCCTGCTGGGCGGCTTTGGCCCAGCCCGGCTCAGGGAGGACTCCTGCTGGGCGGCTTTGGCCCAGCCCGGCTCAGGGAGGACTCCTGCTGGGCGGCTTTGGCCCAGCCCGGCTCAGGGAGGACTCCTGCTGGGCGGCTTTGGCCCAGCCCGGCTCAGGGAGGACTCCTGCTGGGCGGCTTTGGCCCAGCCCGGCTCAGGGACTGAGGCCGCTCTCCCGTCACGTGGAGGCCGGCCCAGCCTCCGCCCACATTAGGAGCTGAGGCCGAGGTGCGGAGCGAGGAAGCACACAGCCCACGGGGGAGCGAAACAGGGAGCAGAAACTCCCAAACTCAGAGCCTCTGAGCACCATCTGCAGGGATCTTGCTATATCCGAGCGCCATTGTGCCCTTATCCACTCAGTTTATTTTAAAATTTAACGTGTGGCATTGAAGTGTTTTAATGTTCAATTTAATTTGCTTTCGAAAACAGACTCCTTTTTTGTACTTAAATAATTTTAGAAAGATCTGTTGGTGAGCTAGATTTAAATATGTGACTTTAAGAATATTAATCTATGTTTGAGCTTACAATCATCTCATGAACCCCACACAGTGCATGCATTTCCCTTTGGGGCGCTCCTAACGACATGTGGCTGCCCGCAGACCCGGCTGGGTCCGAGCCGCCTCAGCCTGCTCGTCGCTAAGAGGTTAACCTGCTGCTGCTGCTGCTGCAGGACACAGACCTCGAGGACTAAGCCCTGCCCCTGCCCGCGCCCCGGCAGGGAGCTGTGGTCCTGACAGGATGCCGTGGGGGTTCCGCGGAACCAGCAGGAGAGCCGGCCGGCACGCAGCGGCCCCGGCTCCGGCCCCGGCTCCGTGCACAGCTCCCTGCGGGCGTCCGAGCGGCTCGGCGGGACCCTGAGCTGTGGCCCGGGTGAGGGCGGGGCCTCTCAGACAGCCTGCTCCGTGCGGGGGGTGTTCACGGTCCCCCGGGGGAGGGGGAGGAAATGCCCAGTTTCCCCGGGCCCTCGGCACAGGGAGGCCGGCCTGCCAGCTCAGAGCGAGGGCTCTGCTCTCCTCACCCAGGACGTGGCCGCAGCCCGCCCTGCGGATGGGGAGGAGGGGAGGAGCGGGCCGCGGTGGCTCCGGAAGGTCCTGGGTCTCCTGCACCCACCTCCTCTGGGAGCCGGGCTTCGGGAACCCACCTCCCCCGGGGGCCGGGCTTCGGGCACCCACCTCCCCCGGGGGCCGGGCACCCACCTCCCCAGGGGCCGGGCTCCGGGCACCCACCTCCCCCGGGGCCGGGCTCTGGGCACCCACCTCCTCCGGGGGCCGGGCTCCGGGCACCCACCTCCCCCGGGGCCGGGCTCCCACCTCCTCCGGGGGCCGGGCTCCGGGCACCCACCTCCCCCGGGGCCGGGCTCCGGGCTCCCACCTCCCCCGGGGCCGGGCTCTGGGCACCCACCACCCCCGGGGCCGGGCTCCGGGCACCCACCTCCCCCGGGGGCCGGGCTTCGGGCACCCACCTGCCCCGGGGGCTGGGCTCCGGGCACCCACCTCCCCCGGGGGCTGGGCTCCGGGCACCCACCTCCCCCGGGGCCGGGCTCCCACCTCCCCCGGGGCCGGGCTCCCACCTCCCCCGGGGCTGGGCTCCGGGCACCCACCTCCCCCGGGGGCCGGGCTCCGTGCACCCACCTCCCCTGGGGGCTGGGCTCCATGCACCCACCTCCCCCGGGGGCTGGGCTCCGGGCACCCACCTCCCCCGGGGGCCGGGCACCCACCTCCTCGGGCGGGCCGGGCTCCGGGCAGGCGGCGCTGCTTTGCAGGGCGTGGACGCGGGCCAGGAGGCACTGGGCCCTCTGCATCTCCGCCCGCAGCTCCTCCACGTCAGCGCTGGCGCAGGCCTGGGGGTGTGGGGGGCGGTGAGCCGCTGGGGCCCCGGCCCCGCAGCAGCCACGGCGAGGCCCACGGCGAGGCCCACGGCGAGGCCCACGGCGAGGCCCACGCCAGAGGCCCACGCCAGAGGCTGCAGGGCCAGCGCCGCTCCGACCAGCTGGACATGTGGCCGGCCCCGTGGCAGAGCCGCGTCCGCCGCGTCCGGCTGCACTGGCACGCGCGCCCCGTCCAGTGAGGGCGCCTGACCTCAGAGCGTGCAGGCACTCACCCTGCCGGCCGCGAGGGGAGGGTGGCTCTGAAGGGGCCGCGGTCAGCGCTGGCCGCACGCTCAGCGTCCGGTGCGGCCGTGGAAACGGCTGGCGCTCCTCACAAACAGGCCGACCCCGGGCCGCTGCCCTGCAGGTGTGGCCTCACAGACTGAGCGCCACGGCACCACGCAGGCCACGCCCACGGGGCCGCAGGGGCCTGCGAGCAGAGCCCGCCCGCACCCGGACAGCGTGGGGAGCCCAGAGGCGCCGCTGACGGGGGGAGACATCAGGCCCCGCGCCCGGAGGGGGCGGACTGGCTCCTGCAGCCGGGCGGGGAGGGGGGGGCTGCCCTTCGGGGAGATGGGAGCGTTGGGAGCAGAAGGGGGCTGCACCCACTGTGACTGTGGAGTCCACTGTGAGCGGCTGACTCTGTGTTAGTGACTTTCACGTCATTATTTTAAATCCTATAAATAAGAGGGTAATATGCAAACAGACCAAAGAGCAGAACTGAACAACCAATCAAAGTGTCATATGCTAATGAACCCTGAGCCTGCTCAACCAATCGCTATGACATGCACTGACCACCAGGGGGCAGTCAGTCAGCTGGTCCACCAGCTGCTGTGATGTGCACTGACCACCAGGGGGCCAGCTTGCTGCTGGGGTCTGGATTGTGACTGAGCAGGACGAGGAGAACACACCTCCCACAGTCCCTCCCCGACCTGATCCTGCACCGGAGGGGGCCCTCCACCTGGCTGCACTCTCCCCATTGGGACCCTCAGGAGCTGTCGGAGTGCAAGCCTCAGCCCAATGCCTCAGGCCACTCCCCCGGGGAGGGGGGCGCCCGGTGCAGGGCTCTCCCATCGGGCTGAGTGGGCGCAGTGGCCGGATGAGCGGAGCGGCAGGCGTGCTGGGCTGCGGGTTTGAGCCCGGCCGTGTGGGCGCCCAGAGTAAACTGGTGCCCCGGCCTCCAGTGTAAAAGTAACACACGGAACCAACACACTCAGACTCTTCTTGGAGACGCCGGGGACCGGGCGGCCCTCCCTCGGAGCTGGCCGGGCGGCTGGGCGGCAGGCGCCTCCCTCCCGCCCGGCGCCCCCACATCGCCCTCACATTGGCGAGGACGGTGAGGCTCAGGGTCTCCGCCTCCGCAGGAGCAGAGAAACACAGCTGTGCCGAGAGGACACGGCTCCACAGTGAGCTCTCTGATCCGCCGTCAGGCGTGACGGGCCCCGTGGTCGGCAAACTCATTACCAACAAGCCAAATGCCAACAGGGCGACTGGAATGTCTTTTGAGCTGGAAACGGACCTCTGCGCACAGGCCGTGAAGTCTCCATCGCCCTGTGTTTGTGGAGGAGCCGCACCCAAGGGTCCAGAGAGCCGCATGTGGCTCGAGAGCCGTGGTTTGCAGACCGCTGGCCTAGGCCCTCCCAGCCCTGCAGTCTGGCCGCTCAGGACGAGGGCAGGAAGGCGTGCTGAGAGGAAGGTCCCGGCCCCGGCCCCCGCCCTCCCCGCCGTGGGCCCCGCTGAGCGGCCCACAGGCTGTGTTCCTGTGGCCACGGGACTGCCCACTTTGGCTGTGGCCTCCAAGTGGGCACAGGCCACGGGGGCAAGGGCGGGCCGGGCGGCCCGGTGCAGAGCTGACTGCTCGTTCAGCAGTGGCTGCGTGGGTCCCGGGGGAGGGGGGAAGGGGGAGGGGGGCTGTCGGGCACTGGGGGGAGGGCACCGGAGCCATGATGCAGACCCAGGGCTTTGCTGGGGCCCACACGGTGGCCACGGTCAGACCAGGACTCCCCACGAGGCTTCCACAAGCTCAGCCTCACGGTGTGCAGCGAGCTCATCTCACACTGAGCGCAGGGCCCTCCCCACACCTGAGCCTGCACCTGGTCCCCGGGGAGCCGCGAGCTCGGCGGAGGCGGCGGGCCCCTCACCTCTGCCTGCGGGCTGTAGCAGTGGTAGCGGCCCCCGACGGCCTCCGCCAGGTTCTTCAGGACAGCCTGCGGGAGCCGAGACCTCAGGCACACCAGCGCCCCGCCTTCTCCTGCCCAGCCCGGCCCCTCCCCGGCGGTCCACCCGGCCTCCAGGCTGCCTCCGCAGGACAGCGGCGGCACTCACCGGAGGCACCCGGGCCTCGCACTGGTAGGAGACAAGGTGGGTGCGGAGGCCCCGGCCCAGGGCGGCCTGCTGGATGTAGTCAGACAGGATTTCGGGGGGCTGATCTGGGCTGGGCAAAAGCAGAGGGAGATAAGGGGGCACCGCAGGAGGGCATTCCAGAGCAAAAACGGTAATTTCCAGGGGAAATCGGCAGGGGCCCGCCCATCCCTGTGTCCCAGCCTCCCGTGTCCCATGTCACCCGTGTCCCAGGTCCCGTGTCCCATGTCACCCTGTCCCAGGTCCCGTGTCCCAGGCCTCCCGTGTCCCAAGCCACTCGTGTCCCAGACCTCCCGTGTCCCTAGCCACCCATGTCCCAGGCCCCGTGTCCCAGGCCTTCTGTGTCCCATGTCACCCGTGTCCCAGGCCGCCCAGGTCCCGTGTCCCAGGCCGCCCGTGTCCCGGCCGCCCAGGTCCCGTGTCCCAGGTCCCGTGTCCCAGGTCCCGTGTGCCGGCCGCCCGTGTGGGGAGTGGGCGGAGCGCAGCACGGTCTGGCCGCCAGGGCGGGCACTCGGTCAGGCCTGTGTCGGGAGGCGGCCCGGGCGCTTTCTCCTAACCAGAGGCCTGAGCCTCTTGTCAGGACGGGAGACCTACCAGCTGCCCAGCACGGCCAGCAGCGAGTCCAGCCCCTCGGCCGCGAAGGCCCTCCTCAGGGCTTGCAGCAGGTTGCTGCCTCCCTCCGGCGGCGACGTCTCCACCCAGAGCCTGAGCTCCCGGAGGCTGGGACAGACCGCAGCCGTCACCGCTCCGCACGGCGTGCGGGGCCCCAGCACCCCGAGCCCGAGCGTGCGGGGCCCCAGCTCCCCGAGCCCGAGCTCCCGGAGGCTGGGACAGACCGCAGCCGTCACCGCCTCCGCACAGCGTGCGGGGCCCCAGCACCCCGAGCCCGAGCTCCCGGAGGCTGGGACAGACCGCAGCCGTCACCGCCTCCGCACAGCGTGCGGGGCCCCAGCACCCCGAGCCCGAGCGTGCGGGGCCCCAGCACCCCGAGCCCGAGCGTGCGGGGCCCCAGCACCCCGAGCCCGAGCGTGCGGGGCCCCAGCACCCGAGCCCGAGCGTGCGGGGCCCCAGCACCCCGAGCCCGAGCGTGCGGGGCCCCAGCACCCCGAGCCCGAGCGTGCGGTGCCCCAGCACCCCGAGCCCGAGCGTGCGGTGCCCCAGCACCCCGAGCCCGAGCGTGCGGTGCCCCAGCACCCCGAGCCCGAGCGTGCGGGGCCCCAGCTCCCCGAGCCCGAGCGTGCGGTGCCCCAGCACCCCGAGCCCGAGCGTGCGGTGCCCCAGCACCCAGAGGCCCGGGGCGGTGCCCCAGCACCCAGAGGCCCGGGGTGGCGGGGGGTGGCGGGGGGGGGGGCAGGCAGCTGTGAGGCCGCCTCCCGGGCAGTGCCCTCCCGGGAGCACCTCCATGGCGCTGTGAGAGCTCTGCTCCTCCCACTTCCTTTCCGTCTGAATTAAAAATACAAAATCTCAGCTTGCTGCTAGAAATCTGTCTTTCGTTATTGCAACTACTGACTCTCCCTTTGTTGTTGTTGTTAATCCTTCCTCTGAGGATGTTTTTCCATTGACTTTTAGAGAGAGGAGGAGGGATGGAGGGAGGGAGGGAGCGATTGAGACAGCCGGGGATCTAGCCTGCAGCCAAGGTACAGACCCTTGACCGAATCGAACCCGAGACCCTCCAGGCCTGGGGCGGGCACTCTGCCCATGAGCCCCAGGGAGAGGCGTCTCCTTTCAGAAAGAGCACCGGGCCCAGCGCCCGCCCAGGGTGTCCGGCTGGAACCCACAGCCCTTTGCTTTGATTCCGCAGGGCGCGCTGTGGCTGCGCTCTGGCTGGGCTGGGCCTCCGGCTCCTCAGCAGGTGCTGGGGAGCCCCGTCCACAGTGAACGGTGACACGGGGACACAGGCCGAGCGGGTGCAGACAGGACGGACATCACGCATCCAGGCTGACCGAGGGAGGAGCTGCTGCCGGGCGACCCCAGCCACCTCGGGTTTGGACAGTGGAGACGGGTCTGACTGAGGGGCGCCCCCGGAGCAGCACTGTCCCCGAGCGCCTGCCACACCCAGCCCATTTTCCATTTCGTCCTCACAGCTCAGAGGGGCAGTCCCGCTCCTCCTGCTCACAGAGGGTGAAGGACTGGCCGAGGCCACCAGGACCGGCTCAGAGCCAGACGCTCCTGGCTCTGGCGCTGCTGCTTGGGCGTGTCCCTTAGCCCGAGCCTCAGGTTCCTCACCCGCCGCATGGGGACTGGCCACAAATCACACTGAGAACAGCCTGGTGGTGTGCGTGCCCTCGTGTGCAACGCCATCACAAGATGGCCACCACCAGATGGCCACGCGCACAGCGGAGGTGCGGCCGGCGGCCGCTGTGTGGTGAGGCCTGGGGGTCCCGCGGCTCCACATGGCGCAGAGGAGGCTGGTCCCAGAGGAGGAGGCTGGTTGCAATGGGGGAGGGCAGTGGCAGGCGATCAGGCTGGCAGGGGAGCCATTAGGGGGCGATCGGGCTCACAGGCAGAAGTGGTTAGGGGTGATCAGGCTGGCAATGAGGTAAGTTGGGAGCCAGCAGTCCCAGATTGTGAGAGGGATGTCCGACTGCTGGGGTAGGCCTGATCCCTGTCTGGCAGTCAAACATCCCCCGAGGGGTCCCAGGTTGGAGAGGGTGCAGGCGGGGCTGAGGGACCACCTCCCTACCCCCCGCCCACGCACGAATTTCATGCCCCAGGCCTCTCATATTAAATAAGACAGTGCATGTGAGTGCCCAGCACATGGCAGGGATCAAAGATATTTCCTTCCTGGAAAAGACATTTTTACTTGGTGGAATAAGTAGAAACTCTTACCCACCTTCCCTCTCACCACTTCCCCAAACAGGAACTCCCACGTAAAGGGCTGGGAAGCTGAGCGGTCTGTGCAGTGGGCACTGACAGTGTGAGAGAGCAGGGCCTGAGGGGCGGAGGCCGGAGCGCGGTCCCCCTGCACCAGAGGCTGTGGTTCCGCTCCTGGCCAGGCACGTGCTGGGTGGACATTCCGGGGCTTCCAGTCCTGCTCCTCCCTCCCCCTCCTCCTCCCTCCCTAAGCAATAACAAACTGCCCCGGTTTCTGGACGGAAGTGGTGCCCTGGCCACCTTGCCTCTCTGGGGGGCTGCTGGGAGGGTGGCCTTTCCAGCGCCTGGCGCCTGGAGTCGGTTCTGTGAGCCGGCTCTGTGCTGGGCCGTGGGCTGGCGCCCGGGCCGCGCTCTAAGGACACTGACGCGGAGGAGGTGGCCAGGCGGCCACTCACCTGGAGGCGCTGACGGCCACGGGCTCCGGCCAGAGGGCGCTGGCGGTGGAGCCGAAGGTCAGGACCAACAGCCTCTCCTTGTGGCTCAGCTGCTCGTCGATGAGGCTCTGGGACGGCGTGGGGAGGGCGGCGGTTACTCCGGCTGAGCGGACTGAGTGGGACCCCGCCTCCATGACTGAGGGCACAGGGGGGCACCGGCTCCCCCCGGGGGGCCATGTCACCGGGCACGTGCGCACCGGAGCCCAAGGGGCTGTGAGGGGGAGTTGGGGAAGAGCTGGAGAAGGCACAGCCCTGGGAAGTCTGGGAGGAGGGTGGATGGGCAGGCGCCGGCCCCGAGCGAGGCCCAGGAGGAGGCTGGTGGTTTGGGGAAATCTCGCTCCTTCCCCAGCCCCAGGAAGCAGGGGGAGCCCGGCCAGACCCCGCCCTTCGGCGCCACGGGATCTCCTCTCGCGGAAACAGCGTGGGAACAGCTGGAACTGGTGAGCCTGCCCTGTTAGCGTGCGGCTGTGCTCTCATAGGGAAGGCACACGCTGGCGGGTGTTACACACGGGCCTGGGAGCGGAGCACGTGTGGGTGACCTGCTGCTCTCCACGCGGCTGGCAGGCCTGGCCAACGCGCAGTGACTCCACCCTGTCCTGCGTAACCGGCTCAGGTACGGCAGGCGCCCGGACCCTGATGTCCGTTACGTTCCCGCTGCACCTGTCTGCCTGCCTGGTCCCGATGCCCTCCTGTGAGTGCAGGAGCCGCCCCGCCGCCTGAGGCTGCCTCCTCCAGAGCGGGCCTGGAGGCCCACCGGGTCAGCAGTGTGCGTGTGCCCGTGTGTGTGCGTGTGCTGTGTGTGTGGTGTGTGTGTGTGTGGTGTGTGTGGTGTGTGTATGGTGTGTGTGTGTGTGTGTATGGGGTGTGTGTGTGTGCTGTGTGTGTGTGTATGTGTGTGGTGTGTGGGGTGTGGGGTGTGTGTGTGTGTGTGCTGTGTGTGTTGTGTGTGTGCTGTGTGTGTGTGTATGTGTGTGGTGTGTGCTGTGTGTGTGTGTGTATGTGTATATATATATATATTACTGATTTCAGAGAGGGGAAAGCCTTTCTATGCCAGGCTATTCCAGGCAGCAGCTGAGGAAGCCCTGTCTCCCGCTGGCAGCTGGGAGGGGCTGTGGTCGCCCATTTCACAGATGGGAAGGCTGAGGCTCAGGTGGGTGGGTAACGCGGCCGCAGAGCCCGAGGGCGGGGGGCTGAGGCCGCTCCACACCCAGAGCCCCGGCTCCCCTCCCTGAGGGCGGGGGGGCAGCCGGGCGGGGGGGCCGAGCGGGTGCTGGCCGAGCCAGTCCAGGGGACAGCTCTGGGGGAGCTGGACGCTCACCCCCTTCAGGGCGGGGTGCCCCGCTGTCCGTGCTGAGGGGCCCTCCCCGGGCTCACCTCGAGGTCCCGCAGAAACTCCTCTCTCCGGGGGCCCCCGCCCAGCACGGCCGCGTCCACCAGGAGCCCCACGCCGGCACCCGCGACCAGCCCGAACGCCTGCGACCGAGGGGCGGTGAGCGGCCGCACCACGGCACCGGCCCGGCCCTGGGGCCCCGCCCCGCCCCCGCCCCCCCGCGTACCATCTGCCTCAGTCCGTGAGGTTTGGGGTCCCCCCCGTCCCCAGGAATGAGCATGGCTCCAGGCCTGGCCCGTTGGGGTCTCAGCCCCTGGGAGGGCCCGGTGGGAGCCAAGCCCAGGGCGGGAGGGCAGACCGGCGGGTGGACCGGAGGGTGGACGGGGGGCACGGGAGGCCTGGGGAGCGGCCTCTGAGAATAACAGCAGGGGGCGGGGGCGGGAGGGCAGAGCGGGGCAGGCCTGGCGGAGGGGCACACTGAGCGTGTCTGTCAGTGGCCGCGTTTCCTGTCGGAGACAGTCCAGCCGAAGCCTGGGGCGCTGGGCGGCCTCTAACCTCCAGAGGGACGGGTGTGAGCCCAGCCTGGTACCTTCCTGCTGCCCTCCGAGAGCCACCGCATCCTCTGCTGGCAGAGCCCCATCATCCTGTCAAACACCAGGAGCGAGCTCACCTCCGTGGAGGGAGAGGCGGGAGGCTGGATGCAGAGAGAGGAGGGTGCCCCTGCCCCTCGCCCCGGCCCCTCAGCCGACCCGTCCCCCCCGGTACCCGTGCCGGGGCCTGAGCACCTCGCCTCCAAACACCCAGCAGACAGGCCGTCCGGGCGGGAGCCGGCCACGGACGCTCCGTTCAGACTCTGCCGCTGCGATGGACTGATTTGCCCTCGTTGGAGGCTCAGAGGTGGGGTTGGGGCCCAGAGGAGGGCGCGGGGGCTTCGGGTGGGAGACCCTGGGGCCTGGGTGATGGGCGCTCTCGGCCAGGCCCGCTGCTGGCACCCTCTCCGGCCCCTCGCCGAGGGCCTGGCCGCCAGGTCGCCGCTCCAGCCCGAAGCCTCGCCTCCACCGTGAGAGGGAGCCGGCTCCATTCCAGTCCGGTTCCCAAAGCCAACTTGGAAAATGGAGGCCGTCCCTGGGCCTCCCCAGTGGCAGTGGCTGAGTGGACTCGAACACCGCTTCACTGCTGTTTGCGGTGAAAACCAGCCGACCCGAGTTCCTTACGCCTGTTCACCCTCCACCCCCACAGAAGCGGCTGTGGAAGTCGTAGCCCAAGTGTTTGGATAAACTTGACAAACGGGCCGTTTCGCGTGGACTTCGTTAGCGTTGGGGAAGCACGGGTTTAAGCTCGGGCTCAGTAAACATGCGGCGGCTGGGGAGAGCTCCGCGGGAGAGGCCGTCAGCGGGAGGGCCATCCTCCTCCCAGGGCCCTCAGACCACGGGAGGCGCAGAGCCGACGGATGGCCTGCGCTGTCCCCCGCCCCGGCCTGAGGGGCCCCCCGACACCACCGGGACGTCTGAGCCCAGCCCTGGGCGGGCCCAGCAGGTGGACGGGTCCCGAAGGGAGCATCCGTCGCAGAGGCTGAGGACCTGAGACGGCCACCCTCTTATCTGAGAAAACCTGAGGCGGGAGCTGGCGGTGGGAGGGACCTGTGTGTGTGGGCGCGGGGCGGGGACGGGGGTTCCGGGGGGGGCCCGCACACACACTCACTCCGAGAGTTTCCACTCCAGCTGGCGGGCGGCCTGGGCGGACGGGTGCGGGCTCCTCTGGGCGCTGCTGCCCTGCTCCCTGCGAAGAGGGCGGTGAGGGCCGGCGTGGTCCCTGCGGGGCCCTGCGGGGGGGCGGGGCACACTCACCACACAGGTGCGGCCAGGCCGGCCAGGGTGAGCTTCTCGAACTCCAGACTGCGAGCCGACAGCCACGCTCGCGGGTCCGCCTCCGCGGGGGGCTGGGCCTCGGCGCCCCCCAGCCTCTGGGGAGGGAAGCCGGAGCCACAGTGAGACCGGGAGAGGCCAGGCCCGCCCTCCACGCGGCCGAGGGGCCCTGTGCCGGGTCCCCCGGAGCAGCCTGTGCGGGCACCTGCGCCCTCCTCCTCGCCCCCCTGGTGGCTGGGCCCTGCGGGCGCGGGGGGATGGGGGGCTGAGCGTGCACCCGGCCAGACCCCAGGGGACACAGAACGATGGCCCTGACCTCTGACGGCCGCCCCGGAACGCCTGGCTGGTTAACGGCGCCAGCAGGCCTGCTCTGTGCTGTTTCCAGCTCAGGGCCCACAGGAGTCACCGGCTCCCGAGAGCACAGGCTGCCCGCGCCCGGCCGGCGGCTCCGGCGGCAGCTTCGGGAGCCCCCTCCGAGCCCGCAGGAGGGCTCTGCCCCAAGAAGGGCCCCCCTCCGTTACCCGGACCCGTGGCCTCTCGGGGTGAAGCCCCAAGGGGCGGCCTTGGGGCCGAAGCCCTCACGGGAGCGCTCCGGGGCTGCTTTCTGGGCCGGCGGGCTGCCCGGCTGAGCCGCCCGGACGTCCTGCTGGGAGCGGCTTCCGTCCCCTCCCCGGTGCCGTGAGCCCGCTGTGACCAGGCTCTGCTCCTGGCGCCTGAGCTACGGAACAAGGGCCGAAACAAGAGGGAGCCCTAGCCGGTGTGGCTCAGCGGACAGAGCTTCGGCCTGCTGACCGAAGGGTCCCGGGTTCGACTCCAGTCAAGGGCATGTACCTTGGTTGCAGGCTCTTCCCCACCTTGGCCCTGGTCAGGGGCACATGCAGGAGGCAACCCATCAATGTGTTTCTCTCACATTGATGTTTCTCAGTCTTCCCCTCTCCCTTCTACTCTAAAAATCAATGAAAAAATATCGAGTGGGGAGTTTAAAAAATAAATAAATAAAATAAGACAAGATGGAAACGCGTTCGCCTTCTGGAAGCTTGCGCTCTGGTGTGTGGATGGCAGAGGAAGAGGAGCATCCCACTGAGGAGAGATCCGGGAAACAGGAGGACCGGGGGGAGGCGGTCGCTGAGCCTCTGGGCCAGGACGGGGAGCGCAGACGAGCCAGCCCTGAGCGTGGCTTGGAGCACACGTTCCCTCAGGGGCACGGGGCCGGGGGTCAGAGGGCCTGGAGACAGAATGGTGCCCCCGGTGGTTGGCGTGGAGCACGTGCAGGGCGGCAGGACGGGAAGAAGCGGGGGAGGCGTGCCAGGCTGTGCCAGGCTGTGCCAGGCTGTGCCAGGCAGGGACTTTGCGAAAGCTTCCAGCACGGTCACTGCTGTCCGTGCGATGGGCTGACCTTAAATATCACCGGAGTTGCCACGACTCACTTAGGGTACAGAACGGCATCTTTCCTTTTGAAGCAGAGAGAGCAGGCCCCGGGCACAAACCTCAAGACACAATCCGCCCTCCTCGGTGAGGAAGCCGCCCGCAGCCGAGACTGCAGGACGGCCCGCGCACCCGTCAACCACCGGCCCCGCCTCGACGCAGTCACCGCTCCTGGCACCGCTCGCCCCAGTGGGCTCCGCCGGGCCTGCGTACGGGGCTCCCGTGGCAGCGCGGGCGTGGCCGGCGGCGGTGCAGAGGACAGAGGTGCGGGAGAGGGGAGGGTGGAGGAGGGGGGCTGGCTGGCATTTCCGTCCGCGGGCTCAGACTCAGAGGGAAGCTGTTCGCGCTGCGGGAGCCGCGGTGGGCGCTGTCCTTGGTGAGCAGTGCCGGCTGGTGGCGGCACCGTGGCTTATGGGGAGGAGCGTGGGGAGCAGCTACGGCTGGAGGACATTTGTCCTTCACACACCAGACTCCTGAGGATGCACCGAGAGTGCTCGGCCTGGACGAGAGGCTGCTTTGCTCCTCGCACAGCCCTGCAGAGGCTCGGCATTAGCTGCCGCCCGGTAAGGAACAGACCCAGCAGCCCCGGGCGGAGAGGCAGCGTCACTCCCCGGCGACATGCTCACCACAGGGCGCTTCCCTCTGCCCAGGCGGGACACCAGCCCCTCTGAGAACCCCCTCGTCAGCTCGGACTTATTTCCCTTACATTCCTCTCGCCTGAAACAATTGTGACTTCACTCAAAGTATGTTATTCCTTTACTAGAGGCCCGATGCACAAAATTCACGCAAGAGTAGGCCTTCCTTCCCCCAGCTTTCCTCTGGCACTGGGACCGGGCTTCCCGCTGGCCACCAGTAAGCACCCAGGAGCCCGGCTTCCCTCGCAGCCCCGGCTCTGTATGGAAGGATGTCTGGCCTACTTAGCATATTATACTTTTATTATTATAGATCCGTTTACCAAGAGACCCTCTTGCAATCCGGGACCTCTCAGGAGAGGTCGGACCGCCTGTTTCAGCCCAATTCCCATAGGGCTGGCCAAGGGACTCCTGCACCAGACCTCTAGAATGCATATAAGATCTTTGGTTAATCTCTTCCCGTACTCCCTCCTCCCCTTTTCCTCTGAGATTCGTCAGTCTGTTCTATGTTTCTTTCTTTCTTTTCTTTTCTTTTTTTATTTTATTAAATTATTATCTGTGTACATATCTTACCAAGTCTGTTCTATGTTTCCATGCCTGTGCGTTGAGTGTCTGCCCCTCAGTGGTCAGTGCACGTCATAGCTACTGGTCAAACGGTCAGGTGCTTAGGTTTTTTATATATATAGATATGACCTGTTGCTATTGGCTTGTGAAGCTGTTATAATCCCCTCATGAACCTGTGTTAAATGCATTCCTGGCAAAGATAATCTGTTTCTTGGCATCAATCTGCTGCCTGAACAATGGGCTCTCACTTCCTAGCTTTGCGTGCTGAGCAAGTCTCGTTCCTCACCTTTAAAATGAGCGTGGTGAGGCTGTGCTTATGCAAAACCAGTTCTCAGGAACAGCAGAAAGTAACCATAAAAGGAAGACAATGACAGTATAATGCTATTACACGTTCCAGAAAAACAGTATTGCGTCTTAAGTTTTGTGCCTGAGGCCTGCTTTCTCTGTTTCAAAAGGAAATTAGCAAATGTTAAAGAAGTGTGGAAAGTACTGGTAATTAAAGCAAACACTTCAACAGCACTTATTATGTGTCGAACACTTTCTAAGCAGGGACTAAATGGAGTAGAATAGCTCAAGTCATGATGTACCATAACACATTGTCTTTAAACTGGCACCAAACTGGGACCACCCAATCCAGAATGAGAGAGGGGCACTGAGAAGATGACTTCCTCATCATGTGATTTTATGCTAATTAATGTCCTGCCCTTGGACAACACCCCTAAACCACCCTCCTTTCCCCGCCTTAGGAAAGCACTGCCACTCCTCATCGGAACACTAGATGGCGACCTTCTCCTCTCCAGGACTCGCCCATCTCTGGCCTAGGACACTGAGCAAAGCAGAAGCAATTCCCCTTCCATTTTACTTGCATTTGAAATGACCCTTCATGTTTTGGACACTGATTTTGTATCATTAATACTTGAAGGTTAGATTAAAAATGGTGGCAGAGTAAGTGAAAGCCACACTGACATCTTCCAGGACCAAACTAGAAATATAACTAAAACAGAAAAAAACCTGAAAAAACAACTGAAGGCTGGCTGGAGAGAACCCTGGTAACCAAGGACTGAACATGGAGACCGGGGAGACCACACAGTCCGGTCGGAAGTGCGGAGACGTGGAAGGCGTGGCTGGGTTCCCACAGACAGCAGCTGAAGGTTTGGAGGGATATTTTAGCTGTGGGGGGTACCCACTGAGAACTTCGGGGTCTAGACCCCAATCTGGGCCCCCAGCCCAGAGCACCAGAACTGAGAAAGGTGCCCACAGAACATATGGCTGAGAGAAGCAGCAGGCTTGCTGTTTGTCAGCCAGAGATGGCTGAAATGCAGGCACCCTCTTAAAGGGCCAAGGCACAAAATTTTGTGAGCAGCCACTTCTCTTGGAAGAGGGAGGGTAGAGGGGGCTGGAACTGTATGAGGAGAGTCCAGGGCTGGGGGCTCAGGAGTTGGAGCTTGGAGGGCAGCAATCACAGTTTTGTATGCTAAGTCATTCCCTCATGCTGCAGAGGTTATTTTTCTCTAGACCTTAGCTACCCAGATAGTTTATGCCTGGGGGAAGGCAATTTCCCCACCTGTTAGAAGACCTCTTGTCCCACTCTGTAGTCCATAGCCTGAAGAGGTGGATCTCTGGAGGCTTTGAGTCTTTGCCTGATCCCCTTCTGGGCCTGGGGCTGGCAAAACAGACCCTGAGGCACATCCTGGTCCTTACCAAAGGCACCCAGTCCAAGCAGAGGGAGTCACAAGTTGAGGATTGCTAATAGCTCCAAACAGGGTACTAAGGGCTAGTAACAAACAGCATCTGACATTGTCCTACACTACAGATTGGGAGTTGTAGCAGATCCACCTAGTCCATAGACACAAACACAAATAGGCAGCCAAAATAGGGAAATTTAAAAAATGATCCCCAAATGAAATAACAAAAATTCTCCAGAAGGAGAGCTAAACACAACGGAGATAAGAAATTTGTCATAGAGTTCAGAATAATGAGGGCAAAGATGCTTAATAGAAAGAAAAAAAATACAGTAACTATGGGGGGAAAAAAAAACCAAAAACACAACCAGTTGAAAATAAAGAATGACATAGCACTAATAGAGAACAGGTTGGCCTTAGCCAGTTTGGCTTCATAGATATAGCATCAGCCCACAGCCCAAAGGGTCCCGGTTTGGTTTTGGTCAACGTCACATGCCACGGTTCAGTCTCCTCCCTGGCCTGGGCCCTGGTTGGAGATTATGCGAGAGGCAACCAATTAATGTGCTTCTCTCATTCTCTCACAGCAATGTTTCTGTCTATCTCCTCCCATTTCCCCTAAATAATAATAATAATAATAATAATAATAATAATAATAATAATAATAAAATCAATGGAAACATATTCTTGAGTGAGGATTAACAAAAACAAATCAACAAAATACATTGGAAGAAATACACAGATTAGGGGAGGCTGAGGATTGGATCAGTGAATTAGAAGACAGGGCAGAAAAAAAAACACTCAGAGAAACAAAATGGAAAAAAAAATATTTAAAAACAGGACAGCTCAAGGGAGCTGTGGAATAACATGGAACAACAATTCTTGTATAACAGGAGTGCTAGAAGGAGAAGAAAGTGAGAAGGGGATAGAGAATATTTTTGAAGAAATAATGGCAGAAAAGTGCCCTAATTTAGTGGAAAAAAAAGTCATACAAGTTCAGAGTCAAAGAGAGTCCCAAGCAAGAAGAACCCAAACAGGCCCACACTCAGAAACATAATTAAAATGTCAAAAATTAAACACAAAGAGATAATCTTAAAGGCAGCAAGAAAAAAGTAATTGGTCACCTACAAAGGAGCTCCCACAAAGCTGATACCTCATTTTTCATTAGAAACTCCACAGGCCAGAAGGGAATGGCATGACGTATTCAAGGCAATGAAAACTAATCTATACTAATAAAAGGGTAATATGGTAATTAGATCCAGTCAGCCAAACATCTTCCAGCCACCCTGCCTTCCTTCCAGACAAAGCCACAGTGGCAGGCCGAGGCAGAGGCAGTTAGGGGTGATCAGGCCGTCAGGGGAAGGCAATGAGGGGCAATTAGGCTGGCAGGGGAGAGCAGTTAGAGGAGATCAGGCCAG